TTAACCGTATTTACATTGAACCTTATGGGAAAATTTGATTCGGGTTGCAACCAATTCGGGTTGCAACCAGAGTTGCGGAACGAATTAAGTTCATGACCCGAGGTACCACTGTACTTTTAAATTATTCTTATGAATATGGTGGTTTTAACCTACCAGATTTTCAATTATATAATTGGCTTTTTTATTTTAACAACTGTATTCTTTTGGAATGAGAATATTTTCCTTTTTGGGCCTACTTGGGATTATTATGATAATTATTATTATTAATATTTTTATTGATTTAGAGGCTGCCTGACCACCAAACACTGGGTGATTTACATCTCAAAAGTAGGAAACAATAACACACAAAAAAAGAAAGACACGAGACATTGCATTTTGTATATGATTTATCCACAACATTCACTTGGTAATATATTAACTGAAGAGTACGGCCCAGATGGTTTAGCAGTCTCTGAGGTATCTGCAATTAAGGATCCTTAAAAGACGCAACATTTTAACAGAAACCTATAATGCAATGTTATAAGGAATTATAAGGTAAAATTAAAGTTACTATAAGTTACATATCTGAATTGTGCAATGAAGAATTGGAATATCCAGTTTTGGAGAATAATGGATACAGTGTCAACAAACATAAAATATACTTCTTATGATTTAAAAATGAAATTAATTCATAAGATACTATTACTTCATTTTTATTGGAACCCTCAAAGAATATTAAAAAGGGATGGATATTACATTTCTTGTGCTGTCATTGTACAAAAATTGTTTTTTAATTCATATCATCTGATCTCGTCCAGCTACAGCCTTCATTTGCTTTCAAATCACTACCTATGTTAATACAAATATTATTGTTAAGAATCTTGATGTGATGTTGAACTATATTCCTAAAACATGTTATTTGGCATCTCATGAAGAGCTTTGGCTCTATCAAGCCCTGGGCACAGCAAAGGGGATAATTTTACACAAGAAACTTACCCTCCTGATTTTACGGAATGGATCAAGGGCATGAATCTGTTATCTGTTCTGAAAAGTCTCTGTACTCCAAGAATGAGAAGATGAATTTCTTCTTTCTATATGCTCTTAATGATAAGCTTAAGGGTTGAATTAATTTTAATTTGCTATCTGTAATTACAATATGGATCTTTTCTCTCTCTTTTTTTCTGTCGATTAGTTTAATTTGAGGTTTTTGTCATATTTATTCTAATCATTATAATATATGTAGGTTTTCTTTCTTTCTTTTTTCTGTTGGTATTGCCATTTTTTGTATTTTACCATTAACAAATAAAAGTACTTTGAAATTATGTACATAGTATGGCAGTAGCAAATTACGTTGAGGAAGGGGCCTATGAAGAAAGATAACTGAACTGAAATTAGAGTTTCTGATTCGGTGAAAAGTAAGAGAGAATGGGGAGGGAGATGTTATTAATAGAGTGCCCAGCGAAGATATGATGCATTTTTTAGGAAGCCATTTCTTCCCAGCCCCATAATCCTTTATACACTTGTTAAATTGTGATTATTCCTTTGGGAACTGCTTCTTTGCTTGAAGCTCAAAGCAGTATATGTTATGTTCCCCTTCCAGTATGATCCCCCAACACAACTGCATGGGGTTGAGTGGTCCAAAGTCATGCTGTATCTTGAGGTTTGTCTTGAACCAGATCTTCTTAATTTTCATCCAACACCTTAACTATTACCCCACTTTAGTCTTTGGGAACTCAAGGGATGTGTAAGACAACTGGGTTCCTTCCTAGGGTTTCTTTCTGATTGTTCTTTGCCAGAAATAAACTTTGGCAACAAATTGGGAATTGTATTAATCCAGACAGATTTTTCTTTCTATAAACATTGTCCCAAATTACAAAAATGTTGTCGCTTAATTTCAATAAAATTATTAGAGACATACGACGCTATCTTTTTAGCATGATTTTACCCAAAGGCATTTTAAAGGTTTTAATGTGGTGGTGGTATCTGAGAATTTATAAAGATTAACCTTAAGTATAGAATCGTAACAGTGACTGGATTAAAATAGAATACAATTCAAAGTTATCCTTTCCTATTACTGCATTGTTGCAAGGTGTTAAAGCACACTCATGCAGATCCACAATGAACACCTCTAAGAATACGGGTCATTGAGATGGGTATTTCTTCTCTTGTTAAGTTTGTTTTTAAAAAACCCTGTTTTTAAAATTTTCTTAGATGGTGTGTGAAATACTAAATCTGTTGTGAAACACGTCTCGAGCTACTTTATTTTGCATTCTGAAATACTTTTTCCTTCAGGTGTGAAAGCTATTCATAAAGCTGTTTTTTTTCCCCTGAACATCTAGTAAATAAGCTTATCTTTCTGTTATGTTTGGAAGTTATATTCATTTTCTTGGTTTTTTTATTTCAGACATCAAATTTTTGTCTCTGATTGCATTGAAAAACAGAAGAAAAAGCTAATGTTAGAAAACTGGGTAAGCAATCCCATGCCAAGACCCACCCCAGGTAAGAAAGGAGAATTTAGGAACCTTGTAATGTTTAATAAGTGTGCCCTTGTTCCCTTTTTGTGGAATATAAACTCTTTATATCTTCCCTTAAGGCTGAACTTATTTTGTGAAAAGCTTGCCATTTTTCTGTACACACCAACTGTAGTATATTATGACTTTGAAAATGTACCTATTTATTCAAATAGTTACATTTGAACCTATGAAACTCCTGGGAAAATGTCATGTTCTCATTTCCTTTTTGGGGAAAAGCAGAAAGCCACCCACCATCCTGCCATTTTGTGTTTCTTTTTTTTTCTCCTTCACCTATTGAAAAAAAAAAGTGACTCTAAAAACAAAAACGGATAGAAATACAGTCTAAATGATGATATTATCTATCAGTAATCCATTTCAACCCAACTACCAAACTATAATATTTACAACATTTCCATCCCTCTTAACATTTTGTAAGTCCCTCAAGACCTGGCTATGTGATCAGGCCTGGGGTTCCCAGGGGACCGGGGAGATTTTACGATGGCTCCCTTATTAATTTTATCCCCTCCTGCTTTGTGTGTTTTTACTATTTTTTATATGTAGCTGTTTTTATGTATTTCTTTTTTTAATTGTTGTACACCACCCAGAGTTACCTTGTGTGAGATGGGTGGCTATATAAATATGATAAATAATAAATAAATAAATAAATAAATTTATTCAAACAATATATTACACTGTTCCCTTTGGGGATAAGCAATCCTTACGAAGAGCATAGAAAAAGAGTAAGATATAGTTAGCCAAAAAAATTAAAGGCATGATATAAGAAAGAGACATAGCTAAATCTATTTTAGACCACTATTCCACTCCACATCTTTTTGTTCTTGCAGATCCTACTTGCTTCCCCCACATTCATACACCGCTTCATATATTGCCTTCTGTTCAGCTCTCTCTTCTTGAAGATCTCATCAGTTCTATCCAACCACAAATTCTTAATCTTCCCCTTCCTCCTAAATAATTCACTCTTCCTCCATAAATTTATTTTGTGATTTGAACCTAATTCATTCTCTCTATATGACTGAACCTCCTCAACATACTTATTTTAATCTTATGTTTTTTAATAATACTATGTAAACACTACTGGGATCTTAGGCGTATGTTAACTCTGCAGTTCATGGTTTTACTTTGATCCTTTTTTAACTATAATAATAAATCAAGAAGAGCAAGAGTATCATGCTCTTTACTATATACTATACTATATACCTATACATATTTATTTAGGTGCAATTTAACACTGCATGTTTCATCCAGTGAGTTCAAGGCAACTAACTGCATCAAGTTAAAACAATTCCATGATAATTGAAATGCATAGTTTTGCAATGATAGATATTAAAGCAGCAATATAATGAAGATAAAATGGCAAACAATGATGATAACTTACCTGTGGAAGGCAAATTCATTTGAGAAAGAAAGTCACCATTTATCGATGGCTGGTGTGGGTCTTCCAGGCTGTGTGGCCGTGGTCTTGAAGTTTTGT